AAACTTTTTCTTTTTTTAAACTTTATGTATATATTATTATTATTATTTATTTTTATTTTTATTTTTTGCAGTTTTAGGTTCAAGGGTACATCTGCCGGTTTGTTACAGGGGTAAATTGCATGTCATTGGAGTCTGGTGTACAGCTTATTTCATCACCCAGGATAACTATGCTACAAATGAGCACAGTATTCGATAGGTACTTTTTAAATTCACCCTCCTCCCACACTCCAGTCTCAAGTAGGCCCTGCTATCTACTGTTCCCTTCTTTGTGTCCCTGTGTACTCAGTGTTTAGCTCCCACTTATAAGAGACAACATGTGGTATTTGGACTTTTGTTCCTGCATTAATTCTCTTAGGATAGTGGCCACCAACTCCATCCATGTTGCTGCAAAGGACATAATCTCTTTCTTTTATATGACTGCATAGTATTCCATGGTGTATATATGCCACATTTTCTTTATCCTGTCAACCATTGGTGGGCATCTAGGTTGATTCCATGTCTTTCCTATTGTGAATAGTGCTGTGATGAACATACACATCACATATCTTTATGTTAGAACCATTTATATTCCTTTGGGTATATACCCAGTAATGGGATTGCTGGGTTGAATAGTAGTTCTGTTTTAAGTTCTTTGAGAAATCTCCAAACTTCTTTCCACAGTGGCTGAAGTAATTTACATTGCCACCACCAGTGTATAAGTGTTCTCTTTTCTCTGCACCCTTGCCAGCATCTGTTGTTTTTTGACTTTTTAATAATAGCCATTCTGACTGGTATGAGATGGTATCTCATTGTGGTTTTGATTCACATTTCTCTAATGATTAGTGAAGCTGAGGATTTTTCCATATGCTTATTGGCTGAGTGTTTGTCTTATTTTGAGAAGTATCTGTTCATGTCCTTTCCCCATTTTTTAATTGGGTTTTAAGTTTTTTGCCTGTTAATTTGTTTAAATTCTTTATAGATTCTGGATATTAGACCTTTGCCAAATGCACAGTTTGAATATTTTCTTCCATTCTGTAGGTTCTCTGTTTACTTTTTTGATAGTTTCTTTTGCTATGCAGAAACTCTTTAGTTTAATTGGTCTTCCTATTTGTCAATTTTTTGTTTTTGTCGCAATTGCTTGTGGAGTCTGTGTCATGACATCTTTGCCAGGGCCTATGTCCATAATGATATTTCCTAGGTTTTCTTCTAAGGTTTTTATAGTTTTAGATTTTACATTTAAGTCTGTAATTCATCTTGAGTTGATTTTTGTATACAGTGAAAGGAAGGGGTCTAGTTTAAATCATCTGTATATGACTGTCCAGTTATTCCAGTATCATTTATTAAATAGGAAGTCATTTCCCCATTACTGCTACTGTCTATCTTGTCAAAGATCAGATGGTTGGTTGCAGGTGTTTGGCTTTATTTCTAAGTTATCTTGTTGCAGGAAATCAGGGACTCCAAATGGAGGGACCAGCTAAAGCTGCAGCAGAAGAACATAAATTGTTAAGATTTCATGGACATTTATTAGTTCCCCAAATTAATACTTTTATAATTTCTGACGTCTATCTATACTGCAATCTCTGAACATAAATTGTGAAGGTTTCATGGACACTTATCACTTCCCCAGTCAATACTCTTGTGATTTCCTATGCCTGTCTTTACTTTAATCTCTTAATCCCGTCATCATCTTTGTAAGCTGAGGAGGATATATGTCACCTCAGGACCCTGTGATGATTGCGTTAACTGCACAAGTTGTTTGTAAAGCATGTGTGTTTGAATGATATGAAATCTGGGCATCTTGAAAAAAGAACAGGATAACGGCAATGTTCAGGGAACAAGAGAGATAAGACTTCTGGCCGCTGGTGAGCTGGACGGAACAGAGCCATATTTCTCTTGTTTCAAAGGCAAATGGGAGAAATATCCCTGAATTCTTTTTCTCAGCAAGGAACATCCCTGAGAAAGAGAATGCGCCCTGAAGGTAGGTCTATAGACGGCCCCCTTAAGGTGGCCGCCTTTTACGGTCGAAGTCGAAGGGATGAAATAAGTCCTGGTCTCCTGTAGCGCTTCCAGGCTTATTAGTATGAGGAAATTCCCGCCTAATAAATTTTGGTCAGACAGGTTGTCTGCTCTCAAACCCTGTTTCCTGATAAGATGTTATCAATGACAATGCGTGCCTGAAACTTCATTAGCAATTTTAATTTTGCCCCATCTGGTGGTCCTGGGATCTTGCCCTGCTTTGTGATATTTTATTACCTTGTGAAGTATGTGATCTCTGTGACCTACACCCTATTTGTGCACTCCCTCCCCTTTTGAAAATCACTAATAAAAAACTTGCTGGTTTTACGGCTCGGGAAGCATCATGGAACCTGCCGATGTGTGATGTCTCCCCTGGATACCCAGCTTTAAAATTTCTCTTTCTTGTACTCTTTCCCTTTATTTCTCAAACCAGCCGAGATGCTTAGGGAATAGAAAAGAACCCACAATAAATATCGGGGGTGGGGTTTTCCCCCAATATTCTCTAATCTGTTCCATTGGTTTATGTGTCTGTTTTTGTACCAGTACCATGCTGTTTTGTTTACTGTAGCTTTGTAGGAGTTTGAAGTGCATAATCTGATGCCTCCAACGTTGTTCTTTTTGTTTAGAATTGCTTTGGGTATTCAGGTTTTTTTTTTTTTTTTTTTTTTGGTTTCCATTTAAATTTTTTTTTTTTTTTTTTTTTTTTTTTTTTTTTTTAAATTTTGAGTTGTAGTTTCACTTTTGTTGCCCAGGCTGGAGTGCAATGGTGCGAACTTGGCTCACTGCAACCTCTGCCTCCCAGATTCAAGCGATTCTTCTGCCTCAGCTTCCCAAGTAGCTGGGATTACAGGCACCTGCCACCATGCCCAGCTAATGTTTTGTATTTTTTTTTTAAGTAGAGATGGGGTTTCACCATGTTGGCCAGGCTGGTCTCGAACTCCTGACCTAAGGTGATCCACCCACCTCAGCCTCCCAAAGTGCTTGGATTTCAGTTGTGAGCTACTGTGCCTGGCCTGGTTCCATATAAATCTAAGGTTTTTCTAGTTCTGTGAAAAATGTCATTAGTAGTTGCACAGGAATAACATTGAATCTGTAGTATGGCCATTTTAACAGTATTGATTCTTATTATCCATGAGCATGAAATGTTTTTCCAATTGTTTATGTCATCTCTAATTTCTTTCCACAGTGCTTTGTAATTCTCATTGTAGAGATCTTTCTCCTCCCTGGTTAGCTGTATTCCTGAGTATTTTATTCTTTTTGTGGCTATTGTGAATGGAATTGTATTCTTGATTTGACTCTCAGCTTGGACATTATTGGTGCACAGAAATGCAACTCATTTTTGCACTAATTTTGTATCCTGCAACTTTGCCAAAGCTGTTTATCAGACCTAGGAGTCTTTGGGCAGAGACTACGGGATTTTGTAGGTATAGAATCATATCATCTGAGAAGGGAGATAGTTTGACTTCCTCTCTTCCTATTTATTAATAGATGCCTTTTATTTCTTTCATTTCTGGAAGCTTTTAATTTTCTTTTTCTTTTTCTTTTTTCTTTTTTTTTTTTTTTTTGCAGTCTCACCCTGTTGCCCAGGCTGGAATGCAAAGGCACAATCTCAGCTCACTGCAACCTCTGCCTCATGAGTTCAAGCAATTCTTGTGCCTCAGCCTCCTGAGTAGCTGAGAATACAGGCACCCACCACTACACCTGGCTCATTTTTGTATTTTTAGTAGAGTTGGGGTTTCACTGTGTTGCCCAGCCTGGTCTTGAACTTTTGGCCGCAAGTGCTAAAACCATCTCAGCCTCCCACATTGCTGGGATTACAGGCATGAGCTACCGCACCCAGCCTAATTTTCTTTTTTTGTTCAGTTCTGCATTTCCATTACAAATGTGAATATTTTAAATTTCCTTTTTATATCTCCTGGCTGATATACATTGTTTCTTTTGTGTTGATTGTCTCATATCATTTATCATCTCTGGAAATTCTTAACCATTAACTTAATTCCCTGTGTAGTCATATTAGACTTTTCATATTTTCTAATTTGCTTATCCTCTCTTTATATTTTTAATTTTTTTCCTCTGCAACATTCTGTGTAAACCTGACTTATACATAATTTATGCACTTTTATTTCACCAATTCTTTCTTCAAATGTGTCAAATTGACTGAGCACAGTGGCTCACACCTGTAGTCCCAGCATTTTTGGGAGGCTGAGGCAGGCAGATCATGAGGTCAAGAGATCGAGACCATCCTGGCCAACATGGTGAAACCCCATCTCTACTAAAAATACAAAAATTATCTGGGCATGGTGGTGCACACCTACTTCCAGCTACTCAAGAGGCTGAGGCAGGAGAATCGCTTGAACCAGGGAGGTGTAGGTTGCAGTGAGCTGAGATCATGCCACTGCACTCCAGCCTGGCGACAGAGCGAGACTCCATCTCAAAATATAAATATATATATATTTTTATATATATGGATAATTAGTATTGCCAGATAGTTACAATGGAATGGGGACAAATGCAAAATTGCAGTGAATGCATGGACAAATAGTACAATTTGCTAATCCTTTGACCTCTTCCTTAGTATATCTCACCTCCACTGAATATATAATGAATCAATAAGCTTCCTAGTACAAGACACTCTACATTCACAAAAATAAACACAATTGCCTTTTGATTTCTATATCTGAGAGGGATTCAGGCAAATACAGGAGGTATTAACAAGAAGCGGCAATATATTTTCTAAGCTATCATAGTCAGCAGTGTCTACTTGGCGTTATGTTTATTCTTGAATGTTATACTTAAGGCCTCCACAGGCTCTGAGCCTCAGCCCCTCCTAAATGTAGTAACTTTTCACATATGGAAGATCCTACTAGGCCAGTTCCCTTCTGTCTGAAAATATTTTTCCAATCAGAAGAACAAAAACAGTATCACGCAATTATGTTAAATAAGCAGCTCTTTTCTTTTATATATTCTTGTTCACAACTAACATAACATTTTTTTCTGCCTTGTAGGTACCAGAGATTTGAAAAGGCATTTCTCCTAGCTGTTGACATTGGTGCTCGTGACCTCTTTATGGTGAGTCATTTTCGGAGATGATTTTGTGCCTTCAGTTCTAAGGCTGAGTAAGTTGTCAGCTTTTGTGACCATTAAAAAGGATTAGTGTCATTTTGCAGGCTTAGACACATGGTGGGAAAGCATTATTCCATCTTGACTTGCAGGTTTGCTTTTGTGAAACTGGTCAATAGCCATCTAGTATCTTTTGATTTGTTGACATTTTCTTTGCTGGCTCCAATGGATCTTTTATGTTTTCTAAGAATTTATAATTCTTGAACTTTTCTCCTCATGTATCTTGATGCAAGGGGATGACACCTATCTATGTAATAATCTTAAATGTCTTTCTAATCCATTCTCTGAAGAAAAGCTATAGAATCCAGGACATAGGGCAAAACATGTCCCACAGATCTTGAATGTGCTCAGTTTGTCCCTTAGATTTTAGTGTAGAGTAACAAAGTAGGAATGTTCTCACATGTATTTTTTAAGTAACTATAGTACAAAGTGGATCCAAGAGGTTAAATTCACATACACTCTGGCCCTCCCATTTGTTAGCTACAGAACAGTAAAACTGACCAGTTTCTTACAAGTCCTTATACTCTGTATCAGGTTTCGGTTTTATAAGATCTTGCACCACAGTGCCACATTGAGATCAATTGAACAAAGGAAAAGTCCTTTCCTGGTTTCCCAGCATATTCTGTTAGAGAGCAATTTCATTGTTTCACAGAAACAACAGAGCAAAAGGTTCTTGAAAGAAGAAATAGTTCCAGAAGGTGCTTTTGCCTGAATCTTTTGCACAATTAAGACATTTTATAGTTTAAGCTTTGATGTTTCAGATATTCTGTTATATAGCAGTTACATTGCTGTCACAGAAACAATAGAGCAAAAGCTTCTTGAAAGCAAGAAATACTTCTAGAAGGTGCTTTTCCAGAATCTTTTGCACAGTGAAGTCATTCTGTAGTTTAAATTAAGCTTTGATGTGTTAGATAATATTATGGATTCATCACATTAAATCAATCCTCTTTGAATTGAGTTTGATATTTAAATTCTAATTGTATGTCATTCAATTAATTATACTTTTATTGACCATTAAAAATCTAATTTCAAAAGCGTGAACATTCTTTTATTCGTCATCTGCATTTTGTGATGTCTAATTGAGCAGGCATATTACATTGAAGGAAGGTTTTATTATTTTCATCAAAATCTATACATGCAGAGATCACAGTGTCAGAAAATTAATTACACTTTTTAGATTTTCCAGCCCCATTGACTTTTTTCCTTATCTCTACCTTTTTACCTTTGCCACTTACCTCAATAATGGTAGATTTTCCCCATATTTCTTTATTTTTTATGTCTATAGTTTCAGTCTTTTTTCTAGCCAAGATAAGAACTAAAGAAATGTATATTTAAATGTTTGGTGCCTGGTAAAATTTATCTCTCAAGGTATTATGTTCTGTAATTTCTAATGTTGTAATAATTACAAACATCATGAAAGGCACCTTCTAAACTTTTCTCAAATCATACCTGTTTCAGCTTTCAGTCTCAGTTTAGCTAATGACAATATAAAGTATCCAGGTTAGTTCAAATCACTTTCATCCAATAGCCTTTCTACTGATAGGCTAACCCTAACCCATGAGGATTTTTACACAAAAAAGATGAAAATATAAAATAAGGGAAGTATAGAAGTCATTTTACTGTCCTTTTTATTTGCAAAAGCAAACATTCATTAATTCAGAATGCTGCATTGTTACTCTTCATGCATAACTTTATGTATAGCCCATGGTCTGCTTTAAAGAAGCTCAAAATATTAAGAGCATTAAAGCCTGAAAGTTCTATTTAAGCTCATGAATCTACTATATACATTTAAAGTTCCATGTAGAAATTGCCTAAAATAATTTATTTTTTTAATAGATTGATTCTTACTATCTAAATTTCATCTAGCCAGAGGTCTGTAGCCTATAGACTGAAAAATGTTACCTCTTTTGAAATTAAAAGCTTGTAAAATAAACAGGATTATTCCTACTTATACATGATTTTCTACCCTTGAGTTATCTCTTGATAAAAGACTAAAAATAATAACATGTGAATCACAATGGGATCACACAAAAGTGTATCAGTTAACCTGAAAATAGTCCTTTTGCATTAGCATATTATCAGTGGTAAAAAGTTACAAGACATACAACATAAGAAAGTTGATATAGCTGGAAAGCAGAGAGACTAAAGGGACTTACTATTCCATATAAAGGAGTTAGAATTTATTATTTTAAACAGAAGAGTGATATTATCAGTATTTTGGCTAGGAAACTTTTCCTATAAAGGGCCAGGTAGCAAATAGTTTAGGCTTGTTTCTTGCATGCTTTATTGATTGACTGATTGATTGATTGATTGAGTCAGGGTCTTGGTTTTTCACCTAGGTTGGAATGCAGTGGTGTGATCATAGCTCACTATAACCTTGAACTCCTGGGCTCAAGCAATCCTCCTGTCTTAGCCTCCGAAGGAGCTATGACTACAGGCATGTGCCACCATGCTTGGCTAAGTTTTGTAAATATTTTAGACTTTTTACAAGCCATACGGGCTCTGTTGCATTTACTTAACTCTGCCATTATAGAGCAAAAGCAGGCATAGTCAATACATACACAAATAAGTTTGGCTGTGTTCCAATAAAAGTTCATGTATGGACACTGAAATTTGATGTCACATAAAACCGTTTCTGTGATTTTTTTTTTTTTTTTTTTCCAAAAACCATTCTTAGTTTGGGTTAGACTTGGATGGCAGGTCACAGTTTGCTGATTCCTTGTTTAGAGTATGATCATGTAAGGCTGCATTGTAGAAAATAAACTGAAGGGAGACAAGGCTTCTAGGTACAAGTGTGAAGTAAACAAAGAGGTGGGTTCTTTCAGGTCCATTTCCTCAGGTCCAGCACCCTCATAGTAATTTTCTTATATTTAAGTCCTGTTGATTCAACTCCAAGCTCTCTCAGTTATTTGCTGCATAATTTTGTATAATTTACCTAACTGTTTGCTTTCATTTTATTACCTGTGGTGATGATAATGCATAAATCCCTAGTGTGCTTTAAGTATCAAATGAATTAATAATATATATGAAGTGCCTGGCATATGACTTAAGAACTACAGTTCTAGTATATATTTTATACTACTCACTTTTCAAATATTTAGGTAGTACTACATTTTACATTATTTATACATTTGTCAGATTAACAATGCTGGAATTTAGGTAACTATTGATATTTGGGTGTTTAAAACCAAGTAGTCTCTACCTGAGAGATTGGAATTGAATCAAGGCAGCCTAGTTTCAGACTACATACTCAATCACTGTGGTATATAGCCTAGAAATGGATTCATACACATATATATTAATTTAGTATACAGTAGAGGTAGCATTTCAAATCAGTGGGGGAAAGCTTCAATAAGTTGTATTGGTCCAACAGACTCAACATATGCCATACAAAGGGTTAATGCACCTAATATACAAAACCAATAATCAGTAAAAAGTAAAACACCCCAGTAAAAAGCTAGCAAAAGTCAGGCCAGGTGCAGTGGCTCACACCTGTAATCCCAGCACTTTGGGTGGCCAAGGTGGGCAGATCACCTGAGGTCAGGAGTTCGAGACCAGCCTGGCCATGGTGAAACCCCATCTCTACTAAAAAAAAAAAAAAAATATATATATATATATATATATATACACACACACACACACGCACACACACATACACATACACACACACACACACACAAAATATATATATATGTGTGTGTGTGTATATATATATACCCACACACAAAAATTAGCCGGGCGTGGTGGCAGGCTGTAATCCCAGCTACTTGGGAGACTGAGGCAGGAGAATCACTTGAACCCAGGAGGCGGAGGTTGCAGTGAGCCGAGATCGAGCTACTGCACTCCAGCCTGGGCGACAGAGCACGACTCCATCTCGGGAAAAAGAAAAAAAAAAAAAAGCTAGCAAATTCACAATCAGGCAAGTCATAAAATAAGAAATACAGATGACAACTAAACACACAGAAAAATGTTAGTCTCTTTCTCTGTGAGTGAAAGAATAGTTTGGGCTAAGGTATCCAGAAACAGGCAATCTTAAGCAGTTCATAGGAGGGTACATTGGTAAGCTTTTCTTGATGACCTTATCAAAAATCATGTGACCATATATGGGAGCATTTATTTGTGGACTTTCTGTTTTATTCCAGTGGTCTATATGTCTGTCTTTGTGCCACACCACATTGTTTTGTTTACAGTACCTTTATATTAAGTTTTGAAATCAGAAAGTATGAGTCCTCCAACACTGTTCTTCTTTTTCAAGACTATTTTGGATATCTGGGGTCCCTTCGGACCCATGTAAATTTTAAGATGGTTTTCTGTTTCTGCAAAAACAGATATTGGAATTTTGATATAATTGCATTGAGTCTGTTGGTCACTTTGGGTAATATTGACATCCTAACAATATTAAATCCTCCGATCCAACTTCAGTACTATGTTGAATAAATGTGGTAAAAGTGGGCATATTTGTCCTGTTGCTGATCTTAGAGGAAAAGTTTTGAGCATTTCACCATTGAGTATGATGAATGGTGGGTTCCTCGTATATAGATTTTATTGTCGAGTTAGTTTTCTTCTACCCTAGTTTGTGTTTTTATCATGAAAGGATGTTGAATTTTTGTCAAATGCTTTTTCTACCTCAATTGAGATGGTTATGTGGGTTTTTCTACCTTTATTCATGTTATATCATATAAATTAATTTTCATATGTTGAACCATTCTTGCCTTCCAAGAATAAATCTTACTTGGTCATGATGTATAATCCTATTAATATGCTACTGAGTTCAGTTTGCTAGTATTTTGTTGAGGATTTGTGCATTAATGTTGATGAGGGATATTGGTCTATGGTTTTATTTTATTTTTTTGTATTGTTTTTGTTCAACTTTTGTAGTATGGTAATACTGGCCTTATAGAATGAGTTAGGAATTAGTATTATTTTCTCTTTAAGTGTTTGGTAGAATT